GATTTAATTCCAGCAATTATTTCTATATGTTCTAAAACTTTTTGAACATTTACTAAAGAATTAGGATTAATAGGAATCGGATCAGGGACATATAATTCTGAAATTTTTACATTTTGATCTGCTATAATTTTTTGTGTTATACTAATTCTAGATTTTTGTGATTTAATATTAGATTTATTTTGTTCTTTAAGCTCGTAAGGCTTAAATATTATTGTTTTATTTATATTTTCTGATTCTAATACTAATAGTTGCTGGGAAGACGACGCTTGATTTATTGAAGTAAGTGTTGGTAATTTTGCATTGCAATTAGGACAATTACGCTTTTTGTTATCAATTTCTAATGTAAAACATTGTGTGCATTTTTCATTTTATTAGTCGTGTTATTTTGCTTTTCAATAAGCTTATTAATTTCATTTGGGTCTTGACATTTTTCTGCAAGTAAATTATTTATTATTTCGTCAATAAAATATTGAAGCTCTTTTCCAAGTTTTTGTTTCATATTATCATTTAAATAAAACAATTGATTAATATCATCTTCACTAAGTGAATTGCATCTTCGTGGCTCAATTTCTAATTGACTATTATTATTTGGATCAAAATTAAGAACTACAAAACTAGTTACGGTATGATATACAACCGTATTATGCCCCTGATCTAAGTAGTTCTTTTGGCCTTTTTGTTCGTTATCAAAAGCTAAAACTAAAAATCTGTCGGGCAAAGACTTAGGTTCAATTGCTAAACTTTCAATCCAATTTACAAATTTTGTGTATCCACTCCCACTAGTAATATGATTATCTACATCTATTATAAGTTTAGACCGGGCAATGGAATATTTAATTGCAGAAAAATGTCAAGACCCAAATGAAATTAATAAGCTTATTGAAAAGCAAAATAACACGACTAATAAAATGAAAAATGCACACAATGTTTTACATTAGAAATTGATAACAAAAAGCGTAATTGTCCTAATTGCAATGCAAAATTACCAACACTTACTTCAATAAATCAAGCGTCGTCTTCCCAGCAACTATTAGTATTAGAATCAGAAAATATAAATAAAACAATAATATTTAAGCCTTACGAGCTTAAAGAACAAAATAAATCTAATATTAAATCACAAAAATCTAGAATTAGTATAACACAAAAAATTATAGCAGATCAAAATGTAAAAATTTCAGAATTATATGTCCCTGATCCGATTCCTATTAATCCTAATTCTTTAGTAAATGTTCAAAAAGTTTTAGAACATATAGAAATAATTGCTGGAATTAAATC